GCTTGTAACATATTGTAGATTGAACCAAGGTTTCAAGAAGTAATAAAGAAATGCTTAAACGAAAAGAAGGCAGTTATGGTCAGGCAGGCCTGTGGTGGGGGGCTTACAGCTTCTGCTTTTTGGCCCAAATCCTTCCAAAACTGCAACCTTTTAGGGAGCCAAAAAGAAATATTCCCACATTGTCAACTTGAATCCAGCTTTTAAGAAGCTATCACAAAGGGGTTAACTAAAAACACTTCAAAATCCAGGGCCAGGTGTGTATAGGCCTAAAGCCTTTTGGTAAAGGCGTCTGCCTTTAAGTGAAATTATCCTGGAGATGGACCTTTAAGTGAGCGAACACAAAATGCTTTTCCCTCTGTTGTAAACTTTATCAAAGTTTTAAGTAATGGTGACATGGTTAGAGAAGGTAGCTCTCCATACTGATCTCTGTTTTTAAATAATAACTGTAAATTCATTGTATATATTCTAATATTATTTTTCTGTATTATTTTTGCCATCATGATGCTTGATAGTTTTTCAACCAGGAAACATTTCAAAGAAGCTGCTACTTTTGGAACAGCCTCAGGGGGGAACATTAGTCATGCATTTTAATGTTGAACCCTAAAATCACATCCCTACATGATGATGACACATGAGGAATACCAGGTATATACTAAAGAGAAAATGGTTTATCATCTGGGGAAAGTAGATATATTAAAGATTTCTTTGCAATCCATTTTTGTGGCGTGCTGACTCAAATGAGGAACCCACTCTATATTCAATATTTCCTGTGCAGTTCTTACAAAAGAAGTGAATCGTTTGTCAGACAGTGTTTATGTCTTGCAGTGTCTACTCCCATTCAAACTGATGCACTGCAAATGTACACTGAGTACAGCACATGCCACATCATCCATTGCCATTTAAGCTTTTTGGCTGACTATCCACAGATATATGAGGACCTTCTCCTGCAGCATGACTTCAAGTTTTCATGTGGAGGTTTATAACTCTGGGGTACAATTATCCAGCAAAGGGTGCAGATTGGAAAAGTTTGTCTCCCTGTCACATGGGGCCTCAAAAATTTGCAGCAGATTCTTTTCATTTGTCACAGCAGCTTGCCTGGATGATGTGCCACATTTTCTCAACACTGAGGATTCAACAGAGTCTCTGGTACAGTCGCAGAGATCAGGAAAATCTGTAGCTTCTCCTGCATGTGAAACGCATTAAAGTAAATCGTGTGACTCTGACTCGGGCCACAGCTCTTATTTAATTAACCTTAAGGGGACATGTGCTGAGCGTGCATGCTGTTTTTCTTTGCTCGGCAGAAGCTGGCATCCACACTCTTTATACTTCTTACACTGAAGTGTTGCTCTCCACTGATGGCCTCAGAGCACTTTAGATGAGGTTGTTTTTCTCTGAAACATCTCAACGGCTCACTTTTCTGTGAACATTCACCAGCTGGTTGAGCAAAACTGGGACAACAATGCTCTGGTCGCAAGCCGTGTTTGTCCAGCCCAGCGGTCTGCAGCCCCGAGATTAGTTCATCCTGTCAGCTCACACCTGTCGGTGAAATCGGCTGCTCGAGAGCGGGGCCAGAATGTCAAACTGTTCACACAAATCGCTCTACAACACATTCTTGGACACCAGTTTGACAGACAGCAGGGTGTGGAAATTATGGAAATTATGCAGGTTTGTGGTTGTTGCTCACTTCTATAAGCTCTGCTTTAATGTTTACCATACCCAATGACCACTTTTAAAGGCTCTGACAGAATTAAATCCATCCTATACACCCACTTCAAAACAACATGAACCCTTAGAGGATGTTCTCAAATATGTAACTTTTATAAAAGTGATACTTAAATATGTTTTAAGTGTATACCTCCAAATATATACGGCATAAATAGCTTAAAACACTTTAAGTGGCAGAGACTACAAATATAAGTTCATTTACTCAAGTTAAGACCTAAGTAAAAATTGAAAAACTGATACTTAAACTTTCTTCTCTAATGTGTTCATTAGGCAAATATATCGTAGTAAGTTACTTCATAAATGCATGATTATCATGCAATGTGTACATTTTAAGATATGGTAAGTTATTATAAACTAATCCAACACCTAAAACATTGAATAATCTACCTCATCAACCTACAACAATTAAATAAACCCGCTGCTTAAATTAGATGGCAGTGTTTCAGCTTTTGACTTTCACATACAATTTATTCAAATAAAATATCTGAGCCCCTTCATCCTCTTCATAGACTTTACCAGTGGACAGCAAAGACATGCCACAGGCTGCTGTCCAAACTGAGAGGCTGCTGCCACCTACAGGTTAAACTTTGCCAGCAACGTCAGTAAACGTTTGCCAACTGCATCCAGTTGCTAAAAAAGGTGTTTATTTACAACAACAATTATTGGGAGAACGTAGATTATAAATCAATTCATTTACTAATAAAAACACCACAGTATCCTTCAAAAGAGGCATTTTACAGTTTACAGTTCAGAATTTTTTATGTTCATTCTGCAAGATATTTATTGTTACAATTATAAACATATTTACATTATAATGTGAAATTTAAATTTTTAGAACAATAAACTAATAACATTACAATATTATGTTGTTTTTAAACTTAAGACCCAAAGGTGTGGACATATTGATGAATATGGCTCATTTACAGGATTTGATTGTTTTTCCGGGTTGAGACATGGAAAGATATATATATATATATATATATATATATATATACATATATATATATATATATCTGCCACTCATATCAAAGCAGGTGTACACTGCTTCACTAAGGTGGATTATCCACCCTGGTGTTAAAAACCAGAAAACAATCAAGGCAACAATTTAAATTGAAATCTTTTGATGAAAAGCGTGGCCTCTGTCCTGTGCATGCCGTGCTAAGCAGAGGAGATAAGAGGCATCTATTTTTATCATGATGACAGGGACTGACCAATACTTACAGCATTTTTGCACGGCGCTGCTCTTTTGTTGATAGTCAACTTGGATGCTCTTGTGTGGAAGTAGGAGTTGCAGTGAGCGGACATTATAACCCTTTCAGGGGTATAACAGCTTTTTTATCCTGTGTATTTTCACACCTGCTTTCGTCATTTTTTTCCAATAAATTCACTTATTTTCTTTCCCTCCTCTTCCCTTCTGGGTTTTTAAAAGCACTTTTCAGATAACATTTCTTATGGACAGACCTCGATCTGAAGGACCTTCACCACTTTGCTGCAGGTTAGCCTCAACCTTTTTGTTTTTTAAAGTCTTTTGATTTCCTCTTTCACCAGACACCAAGCACAGCTTAAAATCTAACGTGATAACAGCAGTTTTGTCCTTGATTGTACTCCAAAATTCTTTTGCAGAATTGCAGAGGCCTTCATTAACGGAGGGGTATTATGCTTTGCCAACAATAAGTGTTAAGTTATGCAAAGTTTCAAACAACAAGGTAAACATATTTTGTCATAACCCCCAAAAAATAGGTGTAAACTGCTCAAATCTCAGACAAATGTGAGAAAATGTGGGACAGCAGTTTATGTGTGAGATTTACCAAAATTCTGATGTAAGAACTATTGTCTCTCCTGATTTATCTAAGCTTCCAGCAAAGCGGTATGACCTGCTTCGACGGTGTGTGAGGTGACACCCACAGCAGAGCAAGTTAAAGCTGTTTTGTTTCTTTATCTTTTGACCACAATAGAGAGAGTGGGGCCATAAACATGCCCATGGACGGCAGCGCTTGCTTTAGGTCCTTGTAATGTCTACTTTTGCTGTTGTTTTTCGCTAATTTGGTCCTTGGTTAAACATTGCCAAATAGCTATGTGTGTTTGGATAAAGCCCATGTGTTTGAGTTTTGTTTCCAGTGGTTTTAACTGGGTCATTTTGTGACCTCACTGGGCCTCCAGAGTGGGGTGTAATGTGTTGCCTTGTGGTCCTGTTGAACAGAGAAAAAAACCATCAACATGTTTACCAAGAGACTTGACCTCTAACTAAATAAGAATCTAGCTTGACCTCCTGCACATAAAATGTTGATGTCTGAATTTGTCTGATATAGCCTCGTCTTGAACAGAGCTTTATTCTAAGGTCACTTAGGTTAACCTTATTTTCAGGTGCCTAACTGCCTTTGAAAACACAACTTTTATTTTTAAGCATCCAGAAATGCAGCCTATTAATGACACAAACAAGATATATCATCTTAAAGCTCCTGTAAGAAACTTTTGTCATTTTGGTGACCCCTTTGGACTAAGGGATCTCTTCGTTCATTTTTCCAAAATCTGAAATTGTAGTTTTAAATTATCTGGGGGAAAAATATCATTGTTATATGTGTCACTCATTATGGATCTTTGCCATGGAAAAAGTACTCAGAGGCAGCTTTTTCAGTGTATAGCTAATCTAAGAGATTTTAGACTTTTTAAGGACATGTAAAAAAAAAAAAAATCTTTATTCTGACAGTGTTGTTCACTTTTGTTGTTCATGAAGAGGCATCTATATTATTTTCAGACAGTTTCTCAGCTGACTAAAAGATCCTCATAGGAGCTTTAACTATTCGGCATGCAAACTTTGTGTCTTCTCCTCTTTGGACTGCCAGTAGAGCTGTCTACTTTGCTGCAAATCTTTACTCTAAGTTGGTCCCATCTGTGAACAAAATTATCGAATAACAGCACAAAAAAAAATTCAATTCTCTACCCAAGACTGAGAGTGACGGACCACTTCATTCTTATATTTTAAACCAATCCTTTAAAGTGTTGGGTAACATTTTTTCCAGCTGTAGCTGTGTGTAGCTGGAAGACACAGATCAGCCTCAGGCCAGAGAGCGTCTCTCTGAGGAGAAGCAGCGTTTACTGAGGCCTATCTAAAAGGCTCAGCACAGAGACTGAATGACGCTATCCTGGGGATCACAGAAACACCATTATCAGTTCACACTGACATCACTGAGCCCTCTACAACAGCAGAGCAGCAATACTCCACATCTCACACACACAAACACAAACACAAACACACACCACTGCCTGCCCCTTGCAGCACAGTCATTGTGTTCACAGGTCAACCCATTGTCTGTGTGGGGGCACGCTGGACAATGTCACCAATCTCTGTCCAAACCATGATCCAACACTGCTATTGTGACCTGACCCATCACTTTCCCGCTTCTCTCTACAAGATGCTGCTCCTGTGTGATGAGACGAGATCGGGGGGTCCTCTGGTCTGCCTGGCACAGAGGAGATTACAGATCATCAATCTGTGACGCCAGCACAGTCACTGTGAGCATCATGAATGGACATGTGGACAGGCTATGCAACACAACTCTCTACCAGGATGTCAACATCATCACTTCTCTACTACGCTATGGTCCTTTAACGTTTCTGCCTCCAGCATGAAGTCAGGATTCATTCATCACGGACATTTAGAAGTGTTTTCTTTCTGATATCCGTTTAAGCAAATGAAACCTGCAACTTGGAAAATGCCCCCTGAGGAGAGATCATTTTTACAGGAAACTCCAACTTCTCTTCTCTTCAAAAATAAAGAAGCTCAAACAACAGCAGGATCTTCCAAAACATCTACTTCAATGCTTTGACCAAGGTTGTCTTGATGGGATTCAAAATGATGGACAGCAATACATGACACCTGTAAAACACCAGGTGAGTAACTAAAGAAGTTCATCTGGAGCTGTATTTTTATCTTCACTTTAACATTTTAGTTAGTTTTATGTGAACAAGAACATTAAGATTACAAGTTAATAATTTGTATTTTTTTAAAATAACATTACATCTGCATCACAAGTTCTGTTACAATAACTATGATTAAAATTCTCTATCTCCTACTAGCCTACATATAATTTTCAGAATGTGCAGTGTACGCACTGCAGGTGTAAAAACTGAAATTAAAAAGACTCCATGGTTCTGTTAGCGGTCCATGTATGTGTCCAAAACATTAACAAGTACTGGAACAAGAACTACAGAGGGGGACCAATATTGGTTTTTCATGACCAACACTGATACTGATACTGATCCCAATTATGAGTGCTTTTGTTCATTATCTAAACAAATGTGCATTTACAGTAAAAATGAAAAGTGACATAAAAAATCTGAATTTGTAATATTACAAACCTTTGTTAATCACCTTTATTATTTATTATTGGTTGTGTTACATCTGGCCAATCAGGTAGTGTCATGGGAGGGACATCAGGTGAGACAAAGAGGTGCAAGGACACACAATCAAAAGGAAAGATACATAGCCACAGTCGCACATTTTATAAATGATTAATTCTATTGTTTATCTACAAAATAACAAGCTGATACAGATAATTGGCAAAAACACAAATACTAGCCCAAATGATCAGTCCACCACCCCTGGAAATAGACTGTCACAAAATCAGTCTCACTTAATCAAACATTTGACAGAGTGTCTGGGATTATAGCAGTGTCACATACGTGTTTATATTTTGACGTTAAGCGACACAAAGATATGGACTTAATGCACAGCAGTCATTGCTCTGTTTTCACCTGAGAGGCTGCGTGATGTTAAATAGATGTCTGTCCGTGAGGAGGATGTGTTTTGAGTCATAAAACTGACTATGGGACTCTCAATATAAAGCTTGCACTGTTGGACCACAAGTTGTGCCATTGTATGTATAAAGCAAGAGAGTGTTAGGCTTTATTAAACCCACTTCAATGAGTGTTGAAAGAGCTATGATCTGAGCAGTCTTTTATCGTGTAGGTATTGAGAAGTGCGTTAATGATTTTAAATTTGAGAAGTTTTCTGTGACAAAGATTTTGACTCAGAAATCACACTCCGGTACACCATCATAATATTGTTTTGTAATTCCTTGTACAAGTGCTAAATGCAATGACAGTAGTGCAAATTCTCAAAAAAATAAGAGAGACCATCAGGTGGATTGACAGCAAAGTATATGAAGTAAAATCTTGAGGCCAACGCTAATAAAAAATGGTGAAATTAAACCAATAGTTACTATAATAACATAAAATATGAGTTAAAGTTTTGACAATAAATGCAGTTTGTAGTAAAATAACTTCTCTGTCCAAACCCCTCAGGGTATCAGTCTGCTTTGGTCTGGCTGAGCTGTAACCACCACCATGTCTGAGATGCAGGTCCTCTACCAACCCCGTCACTTCATCCATCACTCTTCTGGTCTCTACTTGGACCCCAGCCTTATTCAGCGCCGTGTCCTTGAGGATCAGGTTGAGCTGTGGTGGTTCAGAGAACCCCGTCGCTCTCTGTTGTGTTACTGCGCCTCAGTAGCCCTCATTCTAGGTCTGGGTCTAGGCGGTGTGGGCCTCCTCTCCACAACCACCAGCTTGTCAGGGGAGTGGCGCCTCGGTGTAGGAACCACGCTCTGCCTCTTGGCCTTGGCTGTTCTGCTAAAGCAGCTTCTTAGCTCAGCCATCCAGGACATGAACTGTGTGCGCAGCCGGCGACGAATCGAGCAGCTGAAGAGCGGCGGGAGGGCAGACCCAGTGCTCATCTTAGCTGTTGGGGTGGCAGTGATGCTCTGTGGGACCGTGCTGCTCTTTGTGGCCATGGTTGGCAGCCGTGGTCATGACAAAAAGGAGATGTTGCTGTCTAGTCTGGTTCTGCTGGCAGCTGGGACAGGCATGGCTCTGGCTGTGGTGGCGTACAGTGTGCTGGTCTACATTAAGAGGAGAAGAGAGCAGAGGAGGAGGATGATGCTGAGGATGAGCAGAGCCAGGAGGCTGGGGAGTCGAGCAGTCAGGGTGTTCAATGTCTCAGGAGGACAGATGAGTCAGGCGAGGAGAGACACGTCCTCCAGTAGAACCAGCCTCATCTGAATTGACTGAATGAGTACATTTACACCCAGAAAAAGGAGTTGAAGGGGGGAAATCAGAAGATAAAGTAAAATTAAAGAAAAGACAACTCTAGGAGAATCATAGATCCGTTGCCCTGTCACCGACCTTATGTAGGTTTTTACATCCATTAACAACTTTTTGATCCATCTGTGTTGCTTTGATTCAAAATAAAACCTCAGTTATTTTCATTAAATCAGAACATTGCTGTTTTGTGTATTTTTTCACACCTCCATATATCTGTTCCCTCTCACTTAAGGCTCCAAAAGACAAATGTTGGAAAAATGAGAGAAAAGACACAATGACTGAAGATGGAACTTGAATTACAATAAATTTATTTACAGACGGACATTTACACCAAGATTAATTTAGCCTATATACACAGTTTTGTTCAGATGCCTCCTTTTATGTTTCATAAAAACACTGCAACTTTCTGCACTTTGCACAACAATTTAAGCAAATTATTTCCTTTTCATCATGATAGATCTGACCAAAAGTCAAAATATCAATCAACTAGTCTCATGAATACTCTTTTTCAGCTTTGACAAGAATCATTTATAATTATGATAAAGGAAGAAAGGTCAGCATTGGACTTGGGGGGTAAAAAAAGACTCAAATGTGACATCAACAAGGTAAAGTCATCTTTGGACTCTGTTTATACTTCAACCTTTGCCATGTTAACCTTTTTTTCCAACAAAGGCTGAATGTTGTCTCAGCCCAATAAAGCTTAAGGGTAATTATCCTGCGTGCTTGTCCTTTACTGTATCTGCTGACTTACTCATGGCTTGCGGGAATTCCCAAGATTTCTTTACTATTCCTGTAATGAATCCAACAAAAGCAGTAACATTTTCAGAAAGATCTGTTTCTTCTGAATTTCTGAAATCACCTGCACTGTTTCAAACTATTTGAATTGTTCATCTAAAATTTTGCAGCAACTGTGGTTCATCAGTATCCACATTTATTATCCAGCTAATCTTCACTCTCAGTGGCTTCCCATGCTACAGGTCAGGACCCCTCTGAGGGTTATCAAGACAATCTTTGGCACTAAACAGAGAAAAGTGAAAAATACCAATGCTGGTATGAATTAAAATGTGACTTTGTCCCAGACTCTTTTGCTGAAACAGGTACTGATTTCTCATATGTACCATTTGGTCAGTTGTAGTATTATTCATCAAAACGATACAGTATGAGACTTTTTGAGGAAACCTTACAATAAACATGAAGCTCAAAGTAAGCCTCTCTTAAGAGCTACACTTTGAATTTCTCTTGACTCACACACTCTGACACTTTTATCTCCATCATTTACTGTGTATCATGTCAATCATAGACTCAGAAAAACGTGCTTGTAAGCTCAATTTCCAAAAAATACGATTGGTTTTATGGAGCGAATACCAAAAAAAAGTGATGGACTGCTCACACTGTTTATGGGAATATGGTAAGAGTTCTTCTGGAGCGAGAACACCTTATGAAACATCAAAAGAAATATGAAATCATTCCTTGACAGCCAACCATCAATTAAACTCTCATTTCAGTCTAATTTTAAATCAGCTTTAAACCAGCAATGATGGCTTAAGTGTCCCTGTATTTAATCATCCAATTGTGAACTGAAGATCATCATCACTGTCTTCAAGCTCATCCTCCCTCTCCTCTTCCTCTTGTTCTCTTGCTGCTCTGTCCTTCTCACTTGTCTGGATGTAATTATCTTCAATGAAGCCATCGTCATCGTCGTCCAGCTCGACAGGAGTCCCTCCCATCCCTCCCATCCCTCCCATCCCTCCCATCCTGCCCATCACGTTGCTAGGAAACGCCCCTTGCTCCTGTCCATACTGACTGACCCCATCGGACTCTTCTAGCAGAGAGTGTCTGTAGCTCGCCAGGAAGCGGTGGAAGAGGCGTAACTTTACAGTCATTACGACGAGGAGCGAGATAGTAAGAACTGTGCCAAGACCTGCAGCCAGGTAGGACCACTCCAGAGACTTTGGAGCTACAATGTCCTCATCAGACGCCCCTGCAAAGAGAGCAGGAAAAAAAAAACATGAAACTGTGACAACTGAAAGATCGACAAGGTTCAAAGTGTAAGTTAAGTGTTACAGAGTTCAAAGTTCATCAAAAAAACATGGCTGTAGACATCTTCTTGAAGACTTAAAACAAGAAAACCATAGATGAATGAGAATCTTCATGGACATGGCTGTGGATAGTTGAATAATGGCAAAATTACCAATGGAGGGGGATGTTTACTCACCCAGACGGACAGTTGTATTGCTATCAGTGTGATTGTCCACTTCCATTAAAAGATGTCTCTCACCCCCACTGTGTCCTTTCACATCAGCTAAAGTGGCCTGATGTGTTTCTCTGATAAAAGTACCACAAAGAAAGAGCACCACAAAAACGCTGCTGCTCCACCAATCCATCATCATGTCCTAAACAGGGAAACCTGAAAGAAAAAGCAATGGTTATTCGGACCATGAGATGTCCCTAATGTAAGTCTTGGAAGCACATGTAAGTCTTTTGTCCTTTTTGGCACACCATATATTAAATAATAACAACAATTACATTTTTGGTCAAAACATTTTACTTTAAAAAGCACCCAGACAGCTCCCAGTGAGCTAAGCATACAGGCGAGTATGACTCATTGTTGACCTGTGGATAAGACCAAACCAAGAAACTAGGCTTTATGGGGGGATGGGCCCCTTAAACACACCCTCTTATATTATGTTTTTTAAATTACATTAAAGGCACTATAGGAGGTTTTGAACTGGTTAAGAGACAGATTACAATTGATACTGATGCCTCTAAAACAAATGAGACCATCATCAACATGAGTGGTAATTTCTCAGTTGAAATTTTCAGAGCCTGAAACCAGTGAGGAAGTAGGTGTCAGATGAGATGATTGACAGCAGACTGAAGAAACAGCCTTTTCGATTTCTCCATGGCAAACACTCGCAGAAAGTGATGCATTTCACTATTAAGAGACAACACGATGAGAATTTCCCTAAATAAATAAATAAATAAAAAAACAGAACCTTCGCATACACAGGACAAAAAATAAAGGAGGATCACTATGTACATAGGATACCAGAGCCAACCAAAGAAAATGTTCCTTATTAGAGCTTTAAAAGCATTGCAAAGAGTTTCTAGTCTAGGAAAATATACTGAAACTTAAACTGGTGTCTCTTCATGACCCCCTCCAAACTAAACGAGACCATCAGCAAGTAGGCTAACAATTTCAATGACAAACTTTTAAACCTAAAACTGCTTATGTTTACTTTCTTCACAGCAAATACTCACAGATCTATTGTGATCTATTTCAGCAATGTAAAATGAAAACTTTAAAGACAGTGAGATCTGCATTGTGGATGATATTTTTCATGTTCTGTGTAAAGAGGTTATTATCTTAATGCTCAGATTTGTTGGGTACAATGAATACTACCTTTAACACACCAAATACCAAATATTCCACAACCTGTAACTCTGATTTATACACTGACCAAAATCATTTGTCAGTTTTAACAATTTGCTCTTGCTCTTTATGATTTTGTTGTTCTCTTTCTCATACCTGAAGTGTCACATGATGATTGGCGGTTGGGCAATGCTCATGATTTCCCAAGTCCAAAGCTGCTTACTAATTAACTTCAGAATAAACACATTTTTCCCTCACAGATTTTGATCTTTTATCTAGGGCATACGTCCTTCAGTCATGCACAATATATAATGACACATGAATAAAGACAGCAGTGTACAGGTAATATTGGTAAATAACTAAACTAACATGGGCCTCTACACAGTAGCTGCCTCTCAGTCAGCCACAAGTCATCTGACCATCATACCGATAAGGCCCAGCCCAACTCTGTTTAACCTAAATCACAAAGTGCAGTAAGAAATTTTCCCAAGACTCAATTTAAATAATATACACTCTCACACACAGAAAAACACATAACGAATAATGTCTAAAGTGCCTTACCTGTGCAAAGTAGTTTGACTGACAGAGCAGGTGTATGTATCTCTTATCCACCTGACGTTTTCTGCTTGTTTCCTGCTCAGCTCCTGCTGGACAAATTGAAAGACTTGCTGGTCAAAGGTTGAAGGACGTGCCATAATGTCACCCTCCCTGCTCTGTGCCCTCAAGACGGAGTCATTAATAAGTAACTTTATTGGGTTTGACATCCACTTCTCCTTGGAATTCCTTTCTTTGTCATGATCACACACAGGATAGAGTTTTGTTATTCATATTTAACAGATTAATATTTAGGACAGAAATACTATTCTAGAAATAAATACTTCCTCAAAACTGAGAGTGGTAATGAAAAAAAAAAACCAAAAAAGACTGACTTGTCACATTTGTTGCATTAATGCTCTGAGGCCAGACAGTGGCAGTGTAATCACATAAGAAGTACACTGACAAAGTCACTCCACAGAGTCTGCACGCAGAGATCACATGTGTATGTTCCATGCATTTTTTTCTTTTCTAATTGTTGGAAAGAGGGACGGGGGTACAGAGGATGTGGCATCTGACATGAAAGAACATGTCTTCCTCCCATTTAAATATGAGGTATCTGCTCGGCCATGCTTTAATGAGAGGGCAGCTTGGAAAGCACTAACATGATTACATGTGACCTTGGTGGCATTTCTCTTCATCAAGGCTCATTCAGCCTTGGCCGCTGTCTCCGTGGGTGGAGGTAATGTGTCATCAGAAGGGCTTTGGATTTCTGACACATGACTCAAGCCATCTTGTAGCTGCTCATTATACGTGCTGGGATTATGATCAGCAAGAAAAAATGAATCCTCTTTGAATAGGAAACAGAAGCTGTGAAATCTCAACTCTTTAGAAAAATGACTCATTTGACTCTTTTTTTTTATTTCAACAATTTTGTCTCATGTATGTTGATCTGTTAAATTAGTTGCTCATATGGTTGTTTACAAATTGGTTAAAGGAATATTCCAGCATAAAATTAGTTTAGGGTCAAACACACCATAACACCCAGTTAGACACCCCCTCGAGAGATGAAAGAGGCTGAATGCTTGCTTCTCTAGTCATACCAAGTAACAACCACACGATAGCACGATGTTACAGGCAACAAACTCAAAACAAGTGAACATTTATTTAAAAAAAATTAAAAAATAGTCCATCAGTTTGAACATTAAATATCTAGTCTTTGTTCTGTGTTTGATTGAACATAGACGGAAAAGGATTTGGGAATCATTGTATTCCTTTTTTTTACATTTTACATAACATCCCAACTTCATTGGAATTGGGGTTTGTAGTTAGATGTCTTTAATTCCTCAAGAGAGGAAGAGAGCTTTAAATTTATTTTCAGTCTTTTTTTTATTCTTAGATTACTTTAAACAATTAACTATTTAGCCATTATCTGTCAAGTGTTGACCAAAGACTACCAATTTTAATCAGCTTTGTTTTTCATCATCCATTTTTCAGTCAAGAGCTTTTTTTCCCCCCCATCTTTCTGAAAACCACTTCATGTCCAATCCCTACTTGTATCCTACAAGGATCCATTTTCTTACCACCTTTCAATTGTTGGAGCTTTTTCACTTTCTCATGATAGATTTTGAGACCAGAGGAGTCATTTGCAGTAAAAACCTCAGGAGAAAAATTGTGCCTTTTGGGCTTTCATACGTTGGTTGTGTCAAACCATAGATTTTGACGGATTAATGCTTAATAGTAGTAATGTTCCGTCATTTCTACAAAGCATGCTATTGTTTTGGATTCTGATAACACTGCTAGAACTCAAAACTAATAAGCAAGTGTTGGTGACGTAATCACTAGTAAAATTGGTGTTATCAAAGCTGACATATTCACCTGGGAGGTTCACATTAACGCCTCATTTCAATGAGTTTCTTTGTGTCATTTTTGTATCATCCCTGTTTTCTTTCTCTGATCACTTGTAGTTAAATTGTGTTCCATGTCCTGTCTTACCTCCTGAGTTCTTGTATTTATTACTCTGTGGTATTCTGTTTGTTCTTGTGATATTTTGGGAGTCAGTAGCAATGCCCTTGGTGTTTTCTTGTCTGTTTTGTAAGTCCTGAGCGTAGGTGTTCTTTCTGTATTTTCCCTCCAGTTTGTTTACTACCTGTTGGACTCAACTGTGTCTCCCTCTCACACCTGGATGCATGTGGTTACCCAGTATGTCTTTCCTTTACCCCACATTCTTATCAGATCATTGTGTTTTCTTCCTTGTATTCCAGTGTTCTCCTCGTGTTGCTTTAGTATCTTATTTTTACCTTGTGTCCTCTAGTTTCCAGTGTTTTTGGTCTTGAGGTTTTTTGTTCTGGATTTTTGGCCTTGGACTTTCAGATGTAAGTTTTTCTTTTCCCAGCTATAGTATTTCCTCCTAGCTCCTATTGGTCCTCTGCATTTAGAATGCCCTATTTAGAACTGCCCTAACCCAGCCTCTTCCTCTGCTTCAACAGCCAACCAGCAACCCACCTCCACCCCAGCTCCACCCTTGTGCGGGCTAAACTGCTCCACTACCCTTGAAGCACTCTTGTTCCGGGGGGTTCTGTTCATTGCTGCTCTACCCCCCCTGTTGTTTCTGCATTCATGATGCCCCATGAAGGGCGGGAAGGTGCTCTTCCTGCCGCTGGCCTCTCACGCTTGTGTGGAGAACGGGGGGCCCCGAACAGAACCTCGTGTTTGGTAATATTTTAACTTGTGCGAGCAAACAATGTCCTTTACGTCTTCTTCTGCGGATATAATCGATTTCTGCCGACTTTGCAAAGTCAACTGCAGAATTAATGGCATTCTGAATGAACGGCGCTCTGTAGACGTCGCCATCTACACATGGACCAATCAGTGGCTGCCTTTCACTGTTGTCTGGGGAACAGTGGAAACACATTCACTGATTGGCCTGGTTATTTTCTGATTTCTAATATACGCTCCCAATTGGCCGAAGTCCAGACTGTTGTGGGAAGGAACGGCAAGTGATTCACGCAACTGGATGGCCCAGCCAGGCTAGCTCTTCCTGCCTCTGGCTTCCACACAAGTGCATGGATGGGCAAGGACCTGGAACCGAGCTATGCCGCCAAATTTAACTTTTCATGATAAAGCTGAATTTTGACAAAGTGATCCTGACTGAACTTCTTTTCCTCAGAATCAAGTCAAAGACACTGTCTTGTCTTGAAACTTTCTCATGATAACTTTTTTTGATAACTATTTATTCATCACAGTAAGCATGTGTTCAGTTAAACCTGCTAAAAGGACTAAATCCTCACTTAGCATGGTGCTAACATTACACAGTGGAAAAAAACATAGAAAAACAGCAAGGCTTCCAAATTGGGAGATACAATTTTTACATTAAACTTAGTCCATATATGAAAATAAACAGTCTTCAAAAAGCTATAGGGCCAATTAACATTGTGGCCTTACTCTTTACAAACTCCATGGCAAACAAATGGCACGTCCTATTGCAAAGACTTCAGGGGTGGCATTCACACAAACATGGTATGGAGATTATGTAGACCATGTTTGTGTGACTTTGTACCAACCTGTAAAAAAAGAAAGGAAAATCATTCTATACCATCTTCCTCTTTGTTTTTTTCCAAAGGCTGCTAATTACACCAAGTTGTCTGTGGTTGAATGAAACCTTATAATAGCTTGGAGAAGCAGCTGCATCACCAATAATCAGCAATAACCTAAGACCTAAAATTGATCACTGTCCAAATCCTAAAAGAACCCTGACGTCTTAGCTTGCCCCTACAAAGACACCTTGAAAATGTGTAACACCTAAGAATCAATCAATGGTAGTGTGTTCAAGGGATGAAATAGGAGCTGCAGTCAGAGTGAAGAGATCATAAAAAACTCATAGAAATGTTTAGAAATATTGAACCACTACCTTGGCCCCCAGAGCTTCTTATATGATCTCAATGAAGACTTTTCCTCGGTGGTTTGAACGTTTGTTTGTGTCTGACCTAGCCTGCTGTGAAAGGGCTCAATTCTTCACAACATCTGCAGAGATTTAAGTTTAGGTTAATGGAAGAAGAAAAAACATCTTGCTTTGTATGGCAAGATGCTCTCTCTGTAGATCAGAGAGCCTTATATCTCTGACTCATAAGCCCGGAGCTGTAAATTATACATCTATTCAATTGGTCTGGAAATTGCTAGGGCAAATCTAATTATGTAAAAGCGCCTGAACAATCAGCCTTTCTGATATTGTGAAACGTACTGACACTGTCTTTCACAGTGATTGGGACAGGTTTGATTATCTCGTATCAAATGCACACAGTGTAGGGTTCATTATATTTCACCATATTGTCTATGAGAGTCAGTTCCTTTTCCCGTCAGCACAGTCTGAGATCTTACCCCAGCGATCAGTGCACAGAAACAATCATTTAAAAGTCCTGCTCAAAGGTTGCCCACCTTTTACAAGCAGAAATTACCTGCTTACTGTTGGTCATCCAACTCAAATTATTAATCCTCATTCTGCCAACTAAAATTATAAAGTGAGCTACTTTAAATCAGTGCTTGTGAAATAAACTCAAGAGATTAGGAATAACATAGGCTATATTGTAAATTGGTGCTATAAATAAAGACTGGACTCTTTATTTAAATCAGTGAAGACATACTTAAATCTACAGTTTGTGTCAGTATGTATGTACTTGGTTGCCAGGTAATAAGCAGAAATGATAAGTCATTGGTGAGTGAATTGGTAAAATCTTTAATTCAATATGAAACATCATCTTTTGAAAGTGTAGATATTGTGTAAGGTACTTACTTGGGAGGCTGGGGGTCCCTGAAACATACTTTTTCAGTGAAATGTAGATCTATGCAGCACACATTTAATGAGAATTTGATGCCTTTTGAAATCAATGCTGCAAAAAAAGAGGGGTTCAAAAGCACCATCTCTCCCCAAAACCACCTCCCTGCCTCCCTTACTTTGTGATTCTTTGGCTGTGCTCCCTGTTGCAATTTCTAATCAATTCACCTATAAGAACAGCAGTGAAGTCTCATATTTTCTGAGATGAAACCTAATCCCCATGAGAAAAGTAAAATAGATTTGCTGAACTCAATTTCCTTATCCGATTATCTGCAAAAGATCTTATCTGTTTGGACTATCTATGAGTCAGATGCAGTTCTTTAATTCAATTCAACTTTGCAAGTTTCACAATGACCTGATAGATTTAAAATGTGGTTCATCCTATCATATAGTTTGTGTTTGAGTTTTTCATCCCATTAAAAAAACAATCAAATATGACTTGTCATGATGAACAGTGACAGGTGATTCAGTGACAAACTTGCATTTCAGCAACACCGTAAGCATACTGTGCACATTGAAACCACTAATGCAAACTCTTTTCTAAATATATTTTCAATTTGTCATGACAGATGCTACTGACTACCTGCACCATCAGAGAATCTGCCCCTCAGCAGGAAAAGATAAGGAACCCAAAAGCAGCACTGAATCTGGAGTTTCTGACTGTGAGTCTCTCAGGTCTCTCTAATCTTTCCCTCTCAAAAGCCACACTTTCACAGCGGCTTTAGAGCAAAGGAAAAAGCAGACAGGGAGAGCCTTCAAATGCTCTGCAGGATGTGTCAGACAGCAAATATCTGCTTGGCACTGAAGATGTCAATCAAGCTGTTTCTAAAAAAGACAGATAAGAAACTTTCAGAGAAAACAAATTGAAAGCCAAAGATCCTTTTAGATACAGTCGGGCAGATTTTGTACCATACTGCAGGGATACATTTGATGAAGACGTGCATATTAAAAATCAAATCAAATCAGTATCATATTGCCTTTTCATTTATATTTCACACAAGCAATCTATAATTTACAGTCAGGTCCATAAATATTGGGACATCGACACAATCCTCATCTTTCTGGCTGTATACACCACCACAATGGATTTGAACTGAAAGAAGATGTGCTTTGACTGCAGACATTCAGCTATAATTCAAGGGCATTTACATCCAAATCAGGTGAACGGTAGAGGAATTACAACAGTTTCTACATGTGCCTCCCACTTTTTAAGGGACCAAAAGTAACGGGACGACCAACTCAAACGCTATTTCATGGATAGGTGTGGGCTATTCCCTCATTATTTCATCATCAATTCAGCAGGTAAAAGGTCTGGAGTTGATTCCAGGTCTGACATTTGCATTTGAAATCTGTTGCTGTCAACTCTCAATATGAGATCAAAAGAGCTGTCACTATCAGTGAAGCAAGCCATCATTAGGCATCAAATCAAAACCAACCCACTAGAGAGATAGCAAAAACATTATGTGTGGCCTAATCAAATGTTTGGAACATTCTTAAAAAGAAAGAACACACTGGTGAGCTCAGCAACACCAAAAGACCCAAAAGACTACGAAAAACAACTGTGGTGGATGACAGACGAATTGTTTCCCTGGTGAAGAAAAACCCCTTGACAACAGTTTGCCAGATCAGGAGCACTCCCCAGGAGGTAGGTGTATGTGTGTCAAAATCAACAACCAAGAGAAGACCTCACCAGAGTGAATACAGAGGGTTCACCACAAGATGTAAAACATTGGTGAGCCTCAAAATCTAAAAAAGCCTTTAAAGTTCTGGAACAACATCCTATGGACAGACGAGACAAAGATCAACTTGTATCAGAGTGATGGGAAGAGAAGAGTATGGAGAAGGAAAGCAACTATTTATGATCCAAAACATACAACCTTATCAGTGAAGCAAGCTGCTGGTAGTGTCATGTATGGTCATGTATGGCTGCCATAGGAACTGATTCCCTTGTATTTATTGATGAAGTGACTGTTGACAAAAGCGCCAGGATGAATTCTGAAGTGTTTCAGCCAATATTATCCGTTCATATTCAGCCAAATGCTTCAAAACTTGTTGGACTACGCTTCACAGTGCAGATGAACAATAATAATAATTATAATAATAATAATAATAATATCTTGCATTTGTATAGCGCCTTTCAAGATACCCAAAGCGCTTAACAACACACTACAATAAACATAACTAGATACCAAAAGCCTGGATAAACAATAACCCCAAGCATACTGCAAAGGCAACCAAAGAGTTTTTTAAGGCAAAGAAGTGGAATGTTATGAAATGGCCAAGTCAATGATCTGACCTGAATTCGTTTGAGCATGCATTTCACTTGCTGAAAACAAAACTGAAGCGAAATTGCACCAAGAAAAAGCAGGAACTGAAGACAGTTGCAGCAGAGGCCTGGCAGAGCATCACTAAGGGTAAAACCCAGCATCTGGTGATTTCTATGTGTTCCAGACTTCAGGCTTTAATTGACTGCAAAGGATTTGCAACCAAGTATTGAAAAGTGAAAGTTTGATTTATGATTTTTAGTTTGTCCCAATACTTTTGGTCCCTTAAAAAGTGGGAGGCACATATAAAAACTGTTGTAATTCCTACAGTGTTCACCTGATTTGCATGTAGATACCCTTAAATGAAAGCTGAATGTCTGCAGTCAAAGCACATATTTTTTGTTTCAGTTCAAATACATTTTGATGGTGTTTACAGCCGGAAAGATGAGTATTATGCCGGCGTCCCAATATGTATGGACCTGACTGTAAGTAAATGTATGGAATATGAGTGGATCACCACTTTGTTTCTTGTAAATCCCAATCAAACTGTTAGCTGACATCTTACACAGTCTTGCCAGTACAATCCATCAGTGAAACTACATTACCACATTAGTGACAAGGCCAGAGTCTTCTGATTGTGACTTTATTGATGTTCTTTCATGAAATGTATGCATAAACATTTCTTTAATGTACATTGCAGGGGTGCTTTTGAAAACCACAGCCATCAAACAAAGGGACAACATGTGAAAGTCAGGTGCAGAACATGCAGTCTTGTTTCCCTCTCTTCAAAATAATTGCTACAGTACATGGCAAAGCCTACTCTTTGTAGACATGCACAAATCATTTCATGTTTTGTATGATAAAGTACCCTGTACATTTTCATGGGCATACTGTCTATCTCTTAACTGCATAATAATATGGACTGTCTCCGTCTTATTGTAAATGAAGGAGGCACTGCAGTATTGGCCTGTGATGGGTTTTTAAATCAAGGCATGGACAGATGCTGTCAAAAGGTTTGACAGCATCTGTCAAGCACACATTTAGCTTACTGAAAAAAAATACCAGATTCCTTAGGTTGGTACTAGAGTCCTGTCAGTCTGAGTAAACACACTTATAGGAAGTTCAATGACTCCTGTGTCATTACTGTGTTTTTATTTTCTCTCATGATTCTTTCCGTACTTTAGTGAAGATAACTGCAAGAGCCATAGTGTCATCTGAAATGTCAGTCACTCGGTCCAATTTTGTCTTGTTAACCCAAACTACTGCTCAAAGCTCCTGTAAGGATTGTTTTGGCTTTGATGAAATAGACTGAAACTCATCTTGACGCCTTTTGTGATGTAAAAAAGCAAACAAGAGTGTTGGTGACATGATTGAGGTTTTTAAATTGTAATTTTTGATACCTGAAACTTTTGTGAGAGGGTAGGTGTTCGCCAAGCAGCCAAAGAAACAGCCCTATTTTTTTTTTCACAAATTTCACATAAAATATTTACAATGAATGATACATTTGACTGTCAAAAGCAAAGACTCAATCTAGGCTCACACTGGAGCCAAATAGAGTTGGCGTAGAACAAACAACTATGCCCATATTTTGTGTACCCTAGAGTTGCAAAAACTGACACAGTATTGAAACCAGATAACATAGGATTATATTTCACAAGTAAGATTGAAAAATAATTTTGGTTATTTTTAATGTGTGACCGCATCCTGTATCTCTGCTGCTTGTAACGAACCAAAATGTGTGAAGTTCTGGTCAAATTTGGGGAATTATAATTAATATAGTTGGGCATTCCTACATTCCCCAATAGAAATAAATGCACTAAGGGCGCATGGGAACCCATCCAAGATGGCAGCCTCTCTGCTCCAGTAGGCAGTGTAAGTCTACGAGGCGCCTACGTATATTATGTCTGAGGTCAAAAGAGACAGAATAATTAGATTTATTGGCAGAAGACACTACCTTAGCATAGAAGAATTTAAAAGCAAAGACTGCTTCCTCCACATGGGTGCCAAAATTGTCACATGTTGAAAATTCCTCACAGGAGCTTTAAAGCAAACTTCCCTTAAAAACAAAAATTTACAAATGAATCAGCAAGATATGAATTAAATGCTGCGTCAGAAAGCATTTTAGAAAAAAATCACCAGTTGTGTTGTCCATGTTTTTATCCAATCACAGAATGCAACCCTTTTTATATAAACATGTATTTTCACCATGACAGACAGTTAAGGATAGCTGAAGAAAAAATGAGGTAACCTTTTATATAATAATAATAATTACCAAGCATCCTGAATCATAAATAAAAGACATGACATTTTGCATGACTGCATAAACACTAAAGCTACCATTCTGAGAAAGGCCACTTTTTATAGTCATATTTTCAGACTATGGAGCACAGTGTGTTGATGGGTTTATGACAATGAAACTTCATAACCTCTCATGGATGTCCTTTACAACCCCAGTTTAAAATAAAAAGTATAGGCCTGTGTGAAATTATTTAATGTTTTGAAAATCATCTGAAACATAGTGCAATCTCAATATAATGAGTTTTAGAACTGGAAAAGGTTACTGTTTTCTGGAAAATGTTCATGCTTATTTTCAATTTTATGCCAGCAACACATTTCAAAAAGCTAGGGCAGGGCCTGTTTGTCATTGAGGAGACTGAGGAGATGGTTTCTAGAGTTTAGAGAGTGACATGTTGTCTTATACAGGATTTCAGCTGCTCAACAATTGTAATACATGTAAAATTTGATTTTGGGAAATATCTTAGGTAAGGTATTATCTGTATGGTCTCACATGTCACTCCAAAACCTCTCATGTAGCATTGTCAGAGCCTTCCCAAAATGTTAACTAGCCTCATCATAAGCCCTAATGCATACCCATACCATCATGAATGGTACGGGTATGCATACTACGGGCTCTATTTTGGTGCCTCGCCGGAGACGTGCCGCAAGCGCAGCGTCAGTCAGATCCGCCGCGCTGACAAGGCGTTCCCAAGCACATTTTGGTATTTTGGTGAGCCGCGCAGCCCGGGGTAAGTATCCCCCCTCCCTAACTCAGCTCCTCCCAGCACCATAAGTCGTAGACTGGGAGGAGAAAGGCCGTATAGGGGGTTTAACACAGCCGAGACCTGTTTTCACCAATCACATAGGCTCCTCTCCTTGCCTTTAAATCCACCACCGGCGAGGCGTATTACTATTTTCATGAAGTAGTCTAAGAGATCAAGAGATGTCTTAAGACAGTAATGCCACAAGATGGCGACAGAGGGCAGCTCCTCAACAAGTGTCCTCCACACTCTCTCATATGAGCACAGATGGATTTAGTGTGCGTAATGTTGGACCCACTGGTAAGACAAACGCCCTTTTCCACAAATAAAGACACTCACATAAAGTTGCTCATATTCAAACCTCACGTGACAAAGGTGGGTTGAGCGCACAGATCACAACATAAACTCCAAAAATGGCATTAAAATCGGAACCATCTGTGCGTAAATGACGCATCGCGCTCCGTGGCCTGGCCCTTTCTTTCATAGATGTTCGCATATAAAATAAATTTGGCCCACAAAACTGAATATTATAATATCCGTATGTCGGCTTAAAGTAGATAACGCATCTGAGCACTGAAACAAATCATCTGTTCAGCCGCAGCAGCAGCAAGACGGACAGAGGACACGGAGACGTGTCCAGGTCGAGCTGTGCGAGAAATAAGAGGAAGAGGAAGAAAGAAAAGGAGGGAGACGAATTACATATCTTGTTAACTTCATCATGTGTGTTTATTTGATAGATATTTAATTTAATTTGATGCGGTTTCAGCTGTGTTGATTCGGTCAGGTTGTGTGTCCAAACGCGTGCCAAACGCGCTCATCAGATCAGATATAGATCAGAATATATCGATACAGATCTAAATGTATGTGCTGACTCAGATTAATAGTTGATGATGATTATTTATTGCACTGAAATGTGCCTGACACTGTGGAAACCTGCCGGTGAGGCATCAGTGACGTATGTCGATACGCTGCCGGTCTACCAAAATACTACCAGACCAGCTGCGTTCCGCCTTGCGCTGAAAGCTGACCAGGTTTGAATCGGCGAGCTTTCAGCGCACTTTACACGCCGTTGGCGAGCACGAAAATGTCACTGCGCCTGCTGATTCTGTCGACACCTCCCCCTGCCACACCACCACGCCCAGCTTGGCGGATCTCGGCTCGCCTCCGTGCGGCTCATGCCACGAAAATACCAAATTGGCCTTACGCTGGGCTCCGCCAGACGAAAATACAACTGCGCGGGGCTCGCCGCCCTCCGCCGCCTCACCGGCGCGCACGAAAATAGAGCCCTAAAAATCAACTCTTACATTTTTCATCATTTGGCCAAGAAAAGTGGCGGAGTTGCTGGTTCCCTCTTTCTGTGGTACAGATCTAGCCTGCTCAGGTGGATTCAGGACTGAACAGTGTTTGCAAATATCATTACATTACATTAATACCCTGTCATGTTACTGACCCATTTGCAAATTTACCTAATTTGACAGAAATATAGTTTTAGATGTTTTTTTTACGCATTACAATCTTTTTCAGTGTTTTGTTGTCCTTTTCCCAACTTTAAAAAAAATGATTTCTGACTTCAAATTTGAAAAGAGCCCATATTTTTCATTAAACAATTAAATCCAATTCTGTTTTCATGAACTTGTTACACAGCTTTTTACACAACATTCCAGCTTTTTTAGATTTGGGGTTATAATGTCAGAAAGCTGCATGTTTATCCTGAAAAAAATCCATTTCATTTGCTGAGTACAACAAATGTGTGTGTGAAATGCCTATCTAAAAAGGTCCCTTATGCTAAGGCATTATCTGAAGCAGATGTTCATTTTAACACTCTATCAGCATACTTGTCTTCACCTACCCAAACCCCCAATGCAACACGTTAAACGAACAAAGGGTTAGCTGCCCTTTTCTTCAGTAACCTTTGCATCATACACTTAAAGGTCATATTTGAATTGCCTCCCATCAGCAAATATGAATGTACCCATCTGTGGTTTGGTTGGCATTCATACCAACAGACATGCATTAAAACAACACAAGAAAGTGAAGGTTTGTTGCTTGAGTTCAGCTATGATGCATGTACACTGAGTCTGAGAAGCAGATTAATTTATAACCACACCAGATTTACAAACACTGTTTAAATACTTGAAAATGAGGGCAGCAGTAAGCCATAAAATGTGAGGTAAATGGTGTTCTCGTTACAGGACTGAAGAGGGCTGTTTAACTTTTTTGTTTGCCTGTTTGTATAATTACAGCGCTGGGGCCTATTCTATGAAGCAAGTTCAGCCTAGCGAGGTAGCCTTGGAGCTACCTCGCTCAACTTAGCGCGGTAGCCAGCGGTCTCGCTTAACGGTCTTACGATGCTGGTTATCAACCTTGTAAGTGGATCCAACTTTGCTATGAGTGCGTGCTAGCATCTAAGGCGGAGCCCGCTGCATCTGACCCATCGTGAACATGGACCAGTCTGGAGCGTCAGAGCAGGCCGGAGAGCGAAGGACCGTGTACTTTACAAACGAGGAGCAGGAGACGATCATGAGAAAGTATGAAGAATTCAAATCTATCATAAACCTCAAAAGCAACACCGTCGCCACTGCAAAAGCACGGAGGGAGTGCTGGCAGAAAATTGCAGACAGTCTCAATGCGTAAGTATAGTGCGCAAAAATTCTTTGATGCCATTATCACCCTGAAATAGCACTGTTCAACATGTGCTTTTAACATGCACCACACGTCTAATTCCTTTCCAAGATGAATTCATTCATCTGTTCATTCCTATCCTGTGCACATTTTTGTGTGATATGTCGGCCATAGGAGCCTTTCATAAAGGTGGTTATCAAGAAAAGTTAGTGGGTCCGTGCAGTCCCTGAAAACTCCCACGCGCCGGAGTGCTCCTCGGACAATGCAAGCACCGAGGTCTATAGGATCCTCCAAGAACGGATAACCCATTTTTCGGGAGAGCTTAATGGTCAGTGGGCGGGGTTTTTATACTCTGTGAGTTCAATCTGGAGCCTAACCTGCCCCGGAGCAGGTTAGCCGTTCAGCGTATGTCGCCATGGAGACTCGCCTCACTAAGAAGTGAACCCGCGTTGTGGAACAGGAAACCCTGAACTTACCCTGGAAGTAACCTCGCTAAGCAGTAATCCTGCTTCGTAGAATAGGCCCCTGGACCTGTCTAAGATTTGTTGATGCATAGCATAATTTCAGATGGAGCACTGAAGTCACATCTGATTCATGCTTAACATTCATTTGGCTATCGGCAGGTGAGTGGTGTCCACTATTACTAATGGCTTGTACAGTAGGCTGTAATTCAGGTTCTTTAAAGCCCCTTTTTTCAATCTGTTCAAGACTGAACCCCAATGCCTGTCCATGTTGTGGGATCAAAGGCAGCAACAGAGGCTAACCAAACATGTGCTGCTTGTTTACCTTTCTTACCTCTGGGGCTCAGTACAACATCATGTTGTACCTCTGGTTGTAACCTGAGCTGAAAATTACAGCTTTACTAAAAATCATTTACTGTGCATCAGTTAGATGTCACTCTAGTTTATCAAGCGTAACAGTCATGAAATATAGAAAAAATTGACTTGGCAGCTTTGTTTCCATCATAATCAATATACAAGAAATGGTGATCTGCACTCCGACACTAAATGGACAAGGAGCTTTTTCAAGGTTGTGATTTGTCTCAGTTCTTTCTGAATAAATTAAAAAGCTCCCCCTTAACTACAGCATGTGTCAGACAGACATGAGGCACTAGCCTCCTACTGTTGCTGGTTGCATACAGATGAGGTTGTAAGCTCTGATATGTCAATTCAGTCCAGACCTGTGAGATGAGGAGAATTCTCCCAAAATTTGTCAGTAAATATTGTGCCTCTTGAAGAAGTTTTTGGACCTCCCAAGTTCCCTTAGCAATAGATTTTGTTCGTTTCTGTTAGTGTTGTTCAATTTCCTGATGAAAGAGTTTGTTAAACTACGATTAGAGTTTCTGTACTTAAGCCTCAGTATTTCTTTACTTCTGGTTCCATTACCCATACTCCCTGCAGATATACTGATGTCAAAGGAGAGCAAATGATGTACAAAGTGTAAAATCCAATCGACAAGTCAGTCATAGCTAAGTCTGATGTCAGAGAAAACATTCAGTGAGTTTACATGCACAGTATAGTCGAGCTACAGTCACAGCTTCATCAGGTTACTCGGCTGAATGATTCCCCTCATCCCAGTCTACGAGCACTGGGAGAGAGTCAGCTTATCATCAGAAGCATGTCCGCCTCTGTGGCAGCATGCCCCCTTTCAGCTTGTTACTATCAGGTCATGTCCCAGTTGACATATTATTCACCAAAACAGTAGGTAAAATCCGATAGCAAGAGGTTTGATTTAAGGCCCATTTATACTCAACGTTACATCCGGATACAGACAGAGGTCTCCGTCCGTGCTTCACGTTCTTTTCCTCTGTATTTCTGCACGTATCCTTGAAGTTTACAGGTATGAGTCAGACGGAGCAGGACCACTGGAAAACCATGGGGCAGTGTTGCTGCTGTCACTACCCAATATGCATTTCTGGAGATGTTCGAAGAAGACAACGGCTGGGCTTTTTCGTCAATTTTGCTCATCAGTACAGAGAAAAGAATTCTCCGTCCTCCAATTGCTCTTTTAGTAGTTTGACCAACCAACGCCTCCTTCAGTGCTGCCACTACTTCTGTCTCCTATGCAAAATATACATTATCACTAGCTCTTCCACAGTCATGGGGTTTTTTTTGTTTGTTGTTAGAAACTTTTGACTTCGGCCTGCCCCCTTGTGGATGTAATGGTTCACATACATGCCAATGTAAAAGACACATGGAAGTATGTGGCCAGTGATGGAACCATCGTTTGAAACAGATGCGTACATTTTCATAATATGGCGAGCATAAATGAGCCTTTAGAGGGATATCAGTCAAAGTAACGTGTTTTCCCTTTTTAAAGTCCAGTTTCAGTCAGACTAAGGCAATATATATTTTTTAACAACATATAAACACACTGACTGACTTTGTTTATGCCTTTGCACTCAAGCCCATGTGCTTGAGTTAAATTGTAACACTGTGACATCAATGTTAAAGCGCTGTGTGGTCCAATAGGAAAGCACAAAAACATAGTGATGGTAAATTTGTTATGGCGCTGCAGAGGACTCTTCATGTCAAAATGGCTTAAGAGAGCCATAAATCAAACCTAACTGAGTGACTAGACAGAAAGTTTAGCAAATTTTACATTCTCAAAGTCTGTGGACTTCACTGCTTCTCAAATCTAACCAGTGCCCAGTCCGATGTCCTGTTATTCCAACAGATTTTTGCAGATACATACAGTTCTCTGTGGAGCAATGAATAGGTTGAAAAGGTGATAAAATGACTAAATCATGAAGCACATTTGTAGATGTAAAAATGTGTGCTTCGCAGAGAGTCTGTCCAAAAGAGGACAAGGAAACAGCTGTTAGGGTGCTTGTGTTGTCTTCTCTTTTAAGCTCACGAAGACAATATCATGTGACTGTCTGGATCTTGTTTTTTAGTTGCAAAAATAAGACACTTAAATGAATCCACATGTACTCCATCCACAGTGATTTGGCATCTTAGCACTGACATTATAAGTAATCCTAAATCATTATCTTGATCATTTGCTCTGAATGATTCACCCTGTTTACTTGTGATTAAGGCAAATTTCCTCCATGAGATGTTCCAATTAATTCTATCTGAGGTCTGTTTTCTCTTCATCCTTCCTGCTATCTACTGGAGGTAAAATACTCAAAAATCAACTTGCACAAAAACATCAGCTCCTTGAAATGCTTCAGACTAAATTTGACTAATCTTTAGAAAACATCATGGCCATTAATACAAGACAAAAGCTCTGTTTGTTATGCGTATAAGACAGAAACATATGGTTTTAGCCCCAAATAGTAAATCAACACTTGCATAACAAAAGGAGGACGGTGTACACACGGGTTGTTTTTAAGCATTTTGAAATAAATAACAAAGGTGTCAGTGTTTCAGTCCCTGAGAAAAATGTAGCAGACATACAAATCCACTACACCATGACTTTACAGCCTCACTGTCCAGGCTCTGCTGCTGTCTTGATGTGTCAGGCTCATTTTTCTGCTAAGCAAAAGCAGGATGCACATGAAACTGTACACCTGAAATGTAAACAGGACTTCAAAACTCTGCCTTTATCCTCTTTTGTGTAGCTCCAGCATGTGTGTCAACGATTCAATTCATAGTAAGTCTTTGGATTTCTTTAACGCCAATTACAACCAGCAACGACGATGGAGGAAAATTAAGTTCCTTTCACGCTCTCTTTCATCGCCACATGCTGATGAAACGTCCCCCTCGGCGGCTTGATGAGGAGAGAAATGAAATGCTTGAGGAAATTGTCCAAGGTTTTTCAGAGCTCATGGTGTGCTTGCTCAGCTTGGTCTGAAGGTTGATGTTTTTTTTTTTTTTTGTTGTTTTTTAATCCACCATACCTCCGCTGCACACCACAGAGATCAGTGTCCAGCATCACAGAGGGGACTCTCAGCAGTAAAGTCTGCCTCCTCCTGGGTCTCTGAATTTCTTGACTTCTGGTCAAAGGAAATCTTCAATGGCCTATGAGGAGCTCTCTACTTTCACACCAGTGACATTAGCTGTGAAACACCTTTGGAACAGGAGATCAGGGTCTGGGGGCTGATTATCGCAGTCCAATTTCCGGCTCATGAAGTGTTTTCTGAAGCCATGTGGACCAGAGGCGCAAGCCGCTCTGACATGAGTAGTTCCTTCACTGGGATCACTTTCTGAAAACACCCAAAGACCAACAAATAGCAGGCAATTTTAAACCTGAAAACTGGAAAACTGGAAAACTTCGAAAATGAATGTTTGCCATGTCAAATCAGACACTTCTTTTGTTAAAGTGCAGAGAACCGGTATGCACACTTACCAGGCGCCCTGAGGGGCAGGCCGTTGTCAAGACGACTGGGTTTTGTGGCTATGAAGAGGTAGCAGAGGACACACACAGTGATGAGGAAGGCGAGAAGGACCACGGCTGCAATGGACAGACCTACCAGAGCACCAATGCTGAGAGGAGAGGAGTAAATGGGAGGGGAGGAGAAAGGATGACAGCATGGGAGGAATGAGAAGTGTTCATGCACATAATACAAAGTTAAGTATTGTACTTGAATTTACTAAACTTAGCTTATCTGTGGGGTATGCTGGGTAAACAGAAAATAAAATTCATACATCCATAAAATAAGTAGACTATAAAAATACAAGAAGTTGGACTGCAATTAATGCAAGATTATTTCTCCAACTGAGGATAAGTGAAAGGAGGTAGTAATGCAACAAAAATAATCATTTTTTTGCAAGATTATCTGTCAGAGAGAATTGAGAGAGATTCATTTAATAGTGAAGTGAATCCACTGCTGCTACAGATAGACTGTTTTTTGTTTTTTAAATATAACAAAAGCTGCAACTGAATCTTACATCTTGTGCATAAGTCAAAACGGAAAAATCCCTTACCTCAACCACCACATGTATCCATACTCATAGGGGAAAAAGCTGTTGGGGTCGTCACAGCAGTACTTCACATCATTAAACCCGCAGCAGTAGACAGCAGCAGCAGCGTTTCCCAGTCTGGGGCAGGAGAAGCCGTCCACAAACACCCCATCTGCGCTGTAGTAGCTGCTGCACTCAGCGCTCATACTGCAGCATCAAAATAAAGGGGAAGGACCCCGATAGCCTTTCAAATCCTGGGTTCAAAAAGAAGAAGAAAAAGAACAACAAGAAGACGAAGAAGAAGAAGATGCGCGCATCTCCAGCGTGCCTTCGCGCTCTGCTCAACAGCGGTAACGCGTGTCCAGCAGCTGTGCGTTTCTGAACAAACTATGAAAGAAACGGAGGCGGAAGGCTTGAACCTGGAGAAAACTGGGGCTCTCTCTCTCTCTCTCCCCATCTCTCTCTCATTTTCATTGCATCTCTCTCTCTCTCTCTCTCTTCCTGCCTCGCGCTGACACGTGGCAACTTGCCGTTTACTTAATCTTCTTAAATTTTGGGGTAGATTAAGCTTATTTGAGAGCCTAAGGGAAAAACCACTTTACTTTAAAATGTTGACGCTGACATTCTTAAAGTAAGCATACCAACCTCATTGAGTCTACTCCACTTAGTCTTTCCTGGAAATACTATGCAGATACAGCACTGTCAAATTCTGAAGTGATCCTTTTTGTAAGGAGGGGTCCAAGCCCATCTTTAGCTATGGTGGGCATGAAGTATGGAAGACTATCCAGTTCATGAATGTCTTAAAAATTTTTATCATTATAAATGATGTTGAATGTGATGTAAATCTATGATATTTTTTATTAAACACCAAACACAGTTTCTAAAATGTAAGATTTCAGTTTTCCGTCACTTCAACATGTAAAAGATAATGAGATGTCAATTTATTGTAATTTTGTAATCAACTTTAGGGCTCAACAATCTTGGTAAATACAAATGTCTTTGTGATGACCAGCATGCCAAGTGCATCAATGGTTCATGGATAATGATACTGCATCTGGATGCTACTTAAAGAATGTGGTGTATAAATGAAATAAAAGCATTTTTCATCATTCCTGCATCTCCCACTTTTCTTGGGTTAGAAAAAGTGGGTTTGTTGGCACTATAACCAGTGGTGCATATTCAAAGAATTCTTTGTGATTCATCCAGGAAATATTTACAATCAAATATCAGTTATTCGTAAAAAAAACCCTGAAAAAAAAATGTGTTTTTACCTCAGTTAATGTTTACCACAGCAACACAAGGAATGTAATTGAAGGTCTTACATTTCTACAGAATATATGAAGTTGGACAAATTATTTCACACTCTGATCCTTAACATGCTTAGCAGGGTCATGAAATAATCTCTGCAAAAATGTAGGCATATGGAGCAAGGCTCAGTCTTCTAAATGTGGAATTGCTGGAACTGAATATACTCACAATGTCCAGTTTTCTACAGACTTTGTCTTATGGCAAAATAAAAGCACTTCCACATGGTCAGGCGCAATCAGGTCAGAATCAGTCCAGAGGCAGAGAACATAAATTCAGAGGGCACTGAAGTTTCCAGTCCACATTTCTTGTAAAAAGTTCTTTCAGATCCTGGCAGTTGTTGTGAACTGGTCCCCAAAAAGAGAGAGCTTGCAGAAACCTGGTGCAAAGCTACAGCTGAGCGTCTCTGTAGCTTACAACTTTTTAAACATTTGGTTTGCATTGAAACATGGTTTAAACTCACAATACCACCCTAAAAGCTGAATATCATATGAGATCATATAGGTGTTGTCTATCTCCACCTAATAGTGAATGTACATGCATGTTCATTTACATTAAACTGGATTGATTGTCATCATTTCTAATTGTCAGCTTTATTTAAAATCAATAGACAAAATTCACAATGTCCTCTCATCTTATACGGCCTAACAAACAGGAGCACAACTGACTTATTAGCAAGATGCAAAACAAAATACAATGTCAACCCATCTACAGTTGAAGCCAAAATTATTAGCCCTCCCTATGAAATTGTACGTTTTTTTTCCAAAATTTCCTAAGTGCTGTTCAACAAATTAATGATTTTTTTACACAGCTTTTCCGAACATCCAAGTTTTGTTTTGGATCCTTATATTATTTTATTTTGCACACAGAAACAAAATTATTTCAGAAAAACCAAAAACTACCAGGGTCAAAAATATTAGCCCCCCTCAGGCTTATTGTCAATTGTGTGTCCTTTTGCTGGATGACATCATGCAGTCATTTACTGTAGTTTGTAACAAGGCTCTGGCACATCTCATGAGGAATCCCAGCCCATTCCTCTTTGGCAAATCTTTCAAGCTCCTCCAGATTTGATGGTCTTCTAGCTGGACCCTGGTCTTCAGTGCAGGCCACAGATTTTCAGTAGGATTTAAGTCAGGGCTTTATGCAGGCCAGTCAATAATGTTCATTTTGGTTTCCAGGAGGTCGCTCCTCACCAGGAGCGCTCTATGTTTTGGGTCGTTGTCATGTTGGAAGACAAAGTGATGACCCAGACCCAGTTTTGCTGCTGACTCCTTGAGGTTTTCTTTCAAAATCTTCACATATCCTTTTTTCTTCATTATTCCTTCAACCTTGACAAGATTTCCAGTTCCAGATGCACTGAAACATCCCCACAGCATGATACTCTCACTGCCGTGTTTCACTGTGGGTACAGTGTTCTTGGGGTTCTATGCCTCTCCCTTCTTTCTCCAAACATAAGCAATGTCTCTGTGACCAAAGAGCTCCAGTTTGGTCTCATCTGACCAAAGACCACGTCTCCAGTATGCACAATCTTTCTCCAGATTGTCCCTAGCATGGTGGAGTTTTTCTTGGTCTGCATCCTTCTAGTCAATTTCTGCTCAGGGCTCTAGAGACTGTCTTGTTTGACAATTCCTGAGTTGGCTAAGTCACCAACTACTGTTTTAGTCGTTGTTCTAGGTTGTTTAGACACATCTCCCACCAGTTTTCTTTCCAGTTTCCTTGAAGTTTTTCGCTTCCTACCTCTTCCAGACTTGTTCTGTACTGTGTGGCTCTCCTTGAATTTCTTGATGATACCTCTCACTCCCCCTCTTGACACTTGGAAAAGCCGTAATAAATTTTCATATCCTTCTCCTGCTTTGTGAGCATCAACAATTCTTTTTCTTAAGTCTAAACTGAATTCTTTTGTATTTGTCATGATGCCTTCTCAAGTGACAGCGCAAATGCATAACAAGGTTTTTTTTCCTGTGTGTAAAGTGTGTGACAACTCTTTGTTTTAACTGAATTGATTGATTACAAGCTGTGAGCACTCGAAAGTGAAAGTACATGATTGCGCAACAGCGCATCAGTTCTTAAGGGGGGCTAATATATTTTACCCTGGTAGTTTTGGGTTTTTCTGAAATAATTGTGTTTCTGTGTGCAAAGTAAAATAATGTAAGAAGCCAAAATAAAACTAGGATGTTTGGAAAAGCTGTGTAAAAAAAATCATTGATCTGTTGAACAGCACTTAAGAAATTTTGGGGAAAAAAACTTAAAATTTCATGGGGGGGGGGGGGCTAATAATGTTGGCCTCAACTGTACATAAGTACCACATAAGTACACATGTTACCATATGCTTTAGAAAAACATGCATAAATGGACATTCTTAACTGTTGCTAACAAATGCAAGGAGGGGCTGACAAAAAGACCCAATGAATAGAAACAGTAGAGAATTTAAATTCATTAAAAGCATGAACAAGAGTTCATAAATACAGCAACAACAAAATCATGCTGAAAGGAAAGCCTGAAGCATAAAGCTAAACATGTCTATTATTTAATTTGTACAGTGGAAAATACAAAACTGATACAATACCCCAGAAAACAACCGTAAAAGAAAAATGCTGTGAGCCCATTTTCATTTACAGTTGTTTTAGGCCTAACCAGCTTTCTGAATAATGAGAGAGTGGAAGGCGTGGCAGTGGATTTATTGATTGATAAATACTGCAGAATTTTTTCTCTTAAAGCCATTAAACTTTATAACATGTAGACCAACCCACACGACTAAAGCTGAAAAACTACCTCTCGTGGACAAGGATGGTTAAGTAACCCTTGTATAAGTTAAGATAAGAGGTGTCATGATTACACTCATTTTTGGACATTTAATTGTATTAAGTTGTGGTTTCTGTGGAGTTTTCCCCCTTTTCCTCCACTGAGGTTGGGCAGCTCCTCTCTGGCTCTTCTTACAACGACACACATGCATCTCATCTCCTGTAATCGCCAGCTGCACTTAGACTACATTTATACATGCTTAGCTATTTTCACAAAAAGGACATTTCACTCTCTCTGTTTACAAAAAAAACTGTGCACACCACTACATTTTCAGAAAAGTTTTGTTTACACTAACCAATGTATGTATTGCCTTCAAGAGCATATCAAACATGTAGGTAGCAGTGTAGTGAGAAGCTCAAGCCAATCAGAATCCTGCATAGCAGCAGCAACAACAACAACGTCCCTTCCTTCTTTCCAGCCCACAATCTGCCATCGGCTAACTAAAGCTCTGTTTTTCTCTGTTTACATGCAAACATGCAAATGGAGTTTTCCAAAATCTCCACTTCGGCTGGAGTTTTTGGAAAAAAAAGCATCGGGGCGAATTTTCTGTTTGCGTCTAAACGAAGGGTGCAAACAATGGTTAATGTCTCAGATTTTAAAAATAACCGGGTACGTATAAACGTCGCGTTAAGCTCTGCTTGAAAGACTCTAAGTGCCTAAGTATTCACACACCTCGGATCTTGGCCTGTGTTTGTGTAAAACAAGTTTGTCACTTTTACCACTGCTAATGCATTTTTCTCTTGAGAAAACTTCTCAAGTGTCTCTCAAGCCAAGCCCCCAACCTCTGCCGCGACTCTCACACTGGATCACTCACCTACCTCCACTGGCTTCTCACGTACCACAGCACCGCACCGTGCTGCTACTCCAAAAGCTGGACCTTGGATCCTCTCCCCTTCACCTTCGTTTATAATCAATTATTCAACTCTACCGACTGCCTCCGATCTGCACTTGGGTTCAGCGCAAACCATATAAGGCATCCTGACGTAAGGAACTTTATTGAACCCCAAAGGGAAATTCAGTGCTGCTGGATCTCAAATAGTTATGCAGCTCCTGTCTGCTAAGAGTCTCAGCACCGAGCAGTGATGTGTTTACTCCTCAAACCAGCAAAGAAGTATTGGATAGAGTAATTTTGCTCAAGATGCACAGATGTGGTCTTGTGGGCTCTGCTTAGTGATAGGAATTTACCTCCTGGCACACTTACAACACACTTTCAATGATGTGCTCCCTGTGAAAGTTGTTCCTGAGGAAAAACTTTACGGTTTCTTGCCTCAACTGGTTTGTCACTTTCAACACTTTTTG